ATGAACCTTGATGCTCTTATCAGATGTTTCATGCACAGTAATGACTGCAGTCAACCTTTTGATCAAGCATGAACTGCTTTGGTTTGCTTTGTGGCCAAACACACACAGGCCATTTCTTGCTAGTTAACGGTCTGGTGTGCAGCATACCTTGTCCTCAGTAGGAGGTCTGAAGAGAGAACCTTGAAAGGTATGTCTCCTCAATGATATACTATATGAGATTGACCCTAATGAATTTGAAGTTCTATTAAGTGTCATTGCAGTGACCAGTTGGCCAATTGTTTAATAAGACCTTCCATTACCTGAAGGGGGCCTACAAGAAAGCTGGGGAGGGACTTTTTTTTTAAGGGCAGGTAGCAACAGGGTGAAGGGAAATGGCATTAAACTGGAAGAGGGTATGTTTAGACTAGATACTATGAAGAAATTCTTTACTGTGAGTGTGGTGAGATACTAGAACAGCTTGCCCAGCAAAATTGCGGATGCTCCCTTTATGGATGCATTCAAAACCAGGCTGGATGGGACTTTGAGCAACCTGGTCTAGAGGGGAGTGTCCCTGCCTGTAGCAGGGGGGTTGTAACTAGATGATCCTAAAGGTGCTTCCAAACCATTCTCTGATTCAGTGATTCTATGACTTTCAAGTAGGGAAAACTTTGAAGGCGTTTTTTTTGTGGCTTTTTTTTTTTTTTTATTTGGAAAGCCAGGTTAAAGGCTTAAAGGCTATACACAGAAGTATGCATTTGGAAAAAAATAAATATGCTTTGACAAGGCAGAGCAAGAATGAAGTGTACAGTAAGAATAGCAGACCATCAGCTGTGACCATGTGGAGCCCACAAGCACAAACCTATGCAGCAACCCTCAGCTGCCATATGTCAGGGCATCATCGGTGATAAGACCATATGGCAGATAGCTGAATTATTCCTGTAGCTGTGATATGGACCCCCCCCCCCCCTCTCCCCCCAGTTTCTTTCTTCGTGGTGCTTTGAATCTTGCCACTTTTATGGCCAGTTGTGCATCTACCAAAATGTAGGCATTCATCAGCGCAAGAGATGAAAACCTTCAGCACCCAAGCAGAGAAACATTGTCAAGTGATGAGGTACCTTTTTTTCTTTTTTTTTTGGACACATTTCATCTCCCAGCAGGCAATACCCAGCCACATACTAGTGTTAGGGATCAAATGTGTAACAATACAGGAGGCACTGGAAGACTGGTTGTATGACTAGTGCCAAGCCAGTTGCATGACAGAAAAGGGCTTGTGTATACAGAGCTTTTGTGTGCCTTTAGAAGAGAGTGTATGACACACAGCCTTATGTTAAGAAATAAAAAGAAACCCTAAGTCTAATGAACCATCTAATAGAGTTTGGTTCTTGGTAATTTAGATAGACTTTGTAACTGGAATCTGTGGAAGTAAATAGCGTAAAAATAAGGACTCACATTGCCCAGTTTTCCTGAGCTTCAGACATATGCTCATGCCATCTATGTTTTTACCCTGCTGTCAGTAACTCAATCAAGTATTTATAAGTATAACTGTAACTATTGATTAATTCATATGGCCTTGTAGGAGAATGCATTAAATAATTATAAATACTAATTGGCCCTGTTTTAACATGCCAAATTTAAGCTATCTTGTTCAAGTATTTTGTAGGGCTTTAAAAAAACACAAACATATCTACCATAAGGATAAATTAGTACAAAAACTATCAAGTGAGATGTGAATTGGCTACAGGAAAGATAAGAATTGATTGATGTATTAATTTCCAGCAGAGTAGAAGGAAGAGCAAATTAGGCTAAACAACAGTATTCATTTGAATCTTCCTTAATATCAAGCAACAACAGTAGTGGTATATTGATAAAATATGCTTTCAATACAAGATAAGGAGACTCTTCTGTTTAGGATTAGGATTTCTGATTAGGATTTAGGATGCAGTGGATAGCCACTGGATGAGACACTGATGAGAATTTAACCATCATGCTGTACAATAACTCATAGAAGGGCTTGGGTTGGAATGGACCTCAAGGATCACCAAGCTCCAGCCTGCCAGCCTCCACATGTAATACCAGGCTGCCCAGGGTCCCATCCAACCCTGGCCTTGAACACCACCAGGGAGTGGACATCCACAACCTCTCTGGGCAGCCTGTTCCAGCACCTCAGCACTCTCATAGTAAAGAGCTTCCCCCTGACATCCAACCTAAGTCTTCCCTCCCTCAACTTAAAACCATTTCCCCTTATCCTGCTCTTATCAACCCTTTCAAAAAAAACCCTGCAGTCTTCTTCTCTCTAGACTGAAGAAGCTCAGCTCCCTCAGGCTGTCTTCATAGGCAAGGTGCTTCAGCCCTCTAACAATCTTTGTGGCCCTCCTCTGGACCCTCTCCAACAGCTCTCTGTGTTTCTTGTATTGGGGGATCGAGACCTAGCATATAGTTAATGAATATAAAGATGTTATAATTATGAAATAAACAAGAGAGTTTGGCAGAACAAATTACAATAACAAAAAGAATAGATAGAAAGCTTACCCACATCCTAGGCTCACTACAAAACTCCAGTGGAGTGGATCTCCAGAAGAGACCTTTTCCTACTGCTAGTCCGCTCTTAAATGGGTCTAGGAGAGGTGGAGCCTCGCTCCAGTGAATTGCCTTCATCTGTGCTCCTGTGGCTGACTCATTGCTTGCCTCAGGTGATCAATCAGAGGTTCAGGCTGTGATTCAGCAGTTGCCATACACCTGGACACAGTATTCCAGATGGGGCCTCACAAGAGCAGAGTAGAGAGGGGAGAATCATCTCTCTCACCCTGCTGGCCACTACTCTCTTGATGGAGCCCAGGATACCATTTGCTTTCTGAGCTGCAAGAGCACATTGCTGGCTCATATTAAGTTTTTTATCCACCAGGACCCTCAGGTCCTTCTCTGCAGGGCTGCTCTCAAGGACCGCTCCTTCCAGTCTGTATGGATGCCTGGGATTCCTCCGGCCCAAGTGCAAAACTCTGCACTTTGCTTTGTTGAACCTCATCAGGTTCACCTGGGCCCACCTTTCAAGCCTGTTGAGGTCCTTCTGAATGGCATCCCTTCCTTCCACCGCACCACTCAGATTGGTGTCATCAGCAAACTTGCTGAGGGTGCACTCGATTCCATCAATAATGTCATTAATAACGATGTTAAAGAGCACTGGTCCCAAGACAGACCCCTGGGGGATGCCGCTCATTACTGGCTTCCACCTGGACATAGAGCCATTGATTACATAACCCTAAATCTAATAACAGTGAAAGAAAGATGAGCTTGAACTAGACTGCATGAAGAGAATAGTGCAAGAAATAGTGGAAAAAAAAAACAAATTTGGTCTCATTAATGGCCTTAGAAAGTCTGATAGTTGTTTAATTAGTCCCAACAAAAGCTGGGAGAGGACATCTTCACTTGAGAGTTACAGGTGAATAAACATCACAGAGGAAAATTAAGTCAAATGGCAATTCTGCCAGAAGATCACATGAATGTAAACATGAATAAATTGAATGTGTACTTAAAAGAACGCATGTGATCTTGGCAACAATAGTACCGTAATAGTCTTTTGGTGCAAATATTAGTGGTGAAACAAAACTGAATATATACTGTCATTATGAAAGTGATTATGTGATACCTTTGCCCGCAGAGATGGACCTGATGTCCAAACATTAGGTGTTTCTGTGTTCCTTACACAAAGATGAATATTACTGAAACTGGTAATTTTACCTACAGAAAGCAAGTAGCAGGTCAGAGCATGCTATAGAAAATATATGTAAAAGAGGACATGTCTACTATCTGTTACCAACTCCACAAATTTGTGAAAAGGTTCACATTTCCTTAAGGGGAAAAAAAAAAAAAAAGAAAGACTTATTTTATGTAATGCCAAATAAGCATAGAGATTCACTTCAAGTTTTCATTCAGATGCAGATAACTAGTTTTACTGAAGCAACTCTGCTTTTGCAGATTTAGTCTTTTGAGGAACAGAATTGAAGGCCATATGAAAAGGGCATTCTAGAGCATTCTGACATACAAAAGAAAGTTTTATAATTACAGAAGCTGGGGTTTATGGGACCATACAGTAACAGCGTAAATGGTAGTCTTGTTCTGTATTTTCCTAGTTCCTCAAACTTAAAATGGAAAGAGTGAATATGTGAGATTGTCTGGCCATGGGAATGATAAGATGCCAGCTTCAAGCATGCCAGTGCTGGGATCAAGATCAATGGATCTCTTCTATTCCAGGAGACATGGCGATCTCCTTGTGGGTGGAACTACCTGACTAGATAAAAGTATAGATCAGTTTGCTCTGAAAATACCTCCCAAGAAGAAGGTTGCCTGATGTTTTAAGTTTGCTCTGAGTGTATCACCTGATCACCTAGATAAGCCTTTCTACAAAATTTTAAGAAGAAAATCAATATTATCCTGGACTCCACATTTAGCTTGAACTTTTTTTTCATCTCCTTCTTTATTGATTCGGGTGGGCCATCATCTGTTGCGAGTACAATTGGAATTGTGGATGCAGAGTTCTGCAATCCAAGTTTCTTTATGCTTTAAAATAGGGAAGTTGGACTAAAATTTTCTGAAAGGTCAGCTTATGCACCTGTAGCAGTATGAATAGTTCTTAAGATAAGTGTAAATAAAATATATTTGAAGTTTCTTAATGCCATGAAAGAGAAATCGAATTGTAAGAAGTTGAGATTTTTTGAGGGTAAGCCTAGGAACAGTCTGTCTTAAATGACCATTACAATCTGTAACATGCTCCTTGGTGTGCTTCCTGTGGACTCTGTTGAAAAAATTCTTGCAGGCGGCTACTATGTTGGATACATTACTTTTCAAAGTATGTTTGTATATATTTTGCAAAGTGGAAGTATTATACAATTCAGTGTAAATGTCACTTACATTTAGTGCATGGGACTCGCAAACCAATTTCAATACTAGGATTTTTGGTTTATGGCGTACTTATTAAAAAGAAAAAATAATGACCATAAAATCAATTACTTATTTTTCCATTTCAGGTTCATGAATAGATTGAAGAAAACATGGCCAATCGAGATTACATTAGCAGACCTATTTGCAATGGAATTTCTGTTCCTGAAAATAAAATTAATTCCTTAGTGGCTGAAGGACATGGACAACAAATTCTAAAAGTACTACAGAAGTTCAGAGAACAGAATATATTTTTTGACTTTAAAATTATTGTGAAAGATGAAGTCATTCCTTGTCATCGTTGTGTACTGGCAGCTTGCAGTGATTTTTTCAGGTAAGTATAATTTTGGCATGGGTTAGCAGGAAATGGACTAAAAGTTCTTTGGAAGGGAGGGAAATAATATTATTACAAAAATTAAAAGAGAAATCATCACAACTTTTGTATGTCTGCAGAGTTTTCATCAAAGCTGTCAAACACTGTAGTACAGATAGCAAAGTAAATACTTGCACTGTTAGATTTCCAGAGTGATCTGAGAGTCCTGTAAGTTTGAGATTCAGACAGCAGTCTGTGTATTTCACTGGGACTGCTCACTGTTCACTGGAACATAAATGTTAAATCATAAACTGCATGACTCCTCTGTTCGGCAGAACTGACATAAATTGTGTATCTTCAAGATTTGACTTTGCATGGAACAGTCTGTGTACTTTATATTCGGAAGCATAACAGATTGATTCCAGATATGTACTGCACTGAATAATTGTGGATAACTAGTTAATGGTTTTGGAATTGGGTTGGATTTTGTTGTAATAAGATGAGTAATCAGAATAGCACAGTTTGTCTTCAGAGTTATTTAAGCAGATACCTATTATTTTTTCCAAACTAAAATTTCAGCCTTTCAGTGTGAAACAAATCTGTGATCTTCCTTCTTACTTATGATACTTAAAGCTATAGATTCCCAAGGGACAGATTTGTCATATACAGAATTTATGAAGAACTTTGCTAAACTTTTCATTAGCAAAACTGAGATCACAGAATCACAGAATTGTTGGGTTGGGGTTGGAAGGGACCTCCAGAGATCATCGAGTCCAGCCCCCTGCCAAAGCAGGTTCCCTACACGAGGTCGCACAGGTAGGCATCCAGAGAGAGAGATGTGCAAACCCAAACTACAAATCTGTTTCTAAATATATTCTTTGATGAAACACAAAAGTAAGATGCTCTAAAAATGAAAATCCAGGGTCCTGAAACTGAACTTAATTCAGTTGCCTGTATGTAAGTGATACATTATTCTCAAATGGCCTTTGAACATCCCACAGTCTGCATAAATCTGCCATATATGACACGGGACATAGACTAGACTGTGTCCTTAGGACTGCTGACTAAAGAGGAAATGCAGATGAGATATTTCTTCATTGCAGCAACAGATCTTGCTTTGCTTTAATGTACAGTACTGCTTGGCTCCACGGAGACTCCAACAGAAAGGAATATTAGCATGAAATGGCTTCCAGTAGTAATTTTAGAGCTGGAGTAGTGTTTTTGCCACCAATAGGCTTTTGGGATTAAAATTTGCCAGAAAAGTTTGTGTGTAGCAGGTGTTAGCAGCCATAAAATTCATAAGTTGGAATGCAAGGCTTATATATTACCTTTGGAGCATAAAAAGTACCTATGTCTACTAGACAAAAAGTTATTTGTCTGAAAGATTGTCTTTCTTTCCTGTGGACTTCATTTTGGTTTTACTGTGTATACCCAAGATTCAGCAACATTTTGCTTCCTACTTGTTAGCTTTTTGATTCAAAGTTCCTGCTTTTCTGCTGGCATTGCTCAGTTGCTATTGCTTGTAAGTGAAGCTTTATTTCCTAGGCACCCAGTATCCTTTCCATGTTAATTTGCAATTTAGAGATTTGTATCATAGCTTCAAAAGACTGAGTATTTATTATGTAGAAAAGTTTCAGGTTGTAAGTTTCTTATTGCAATTATACCTTCTTGATGGTTGGACTAGATGATCTTGTAGGTCCTTTCCAACCTTGTGATTATGTGATTCTATGATTCTTGTTCAGGAGGCGAGTTTTTGCTTTACTGAATGTTCACTTTCCAAAGAGTATGGCTGTACACAGCGGTTTTCATTTTCTTCTTTGGCTTCATAAAAGTATGGGATTTTAAGTATCACATACTATCCATATACTAATCGTGTAAGAGAGCTATGGTAAAAAACTCATTTTATTTTTAAATAGGAACTACCAATGATTTATTATTAATCCAAATTTTATACTCAGTGTTTGGAATCATTTGTCTAAATCTTTCTCCACTATCTTCTTTGGTCAAATCTGGGACACTGATGCTTATGCTCCAGGAGGGTAAGGGCAAATGACATGGCAGAATGGTTCTCTTGCCAGATTGCAATACCTTAATCATTTTATTTCATAATGTCAGATTGTGCGCAGTAGTTAAAATGTGGTTGTTATGTATTTAGTAATAAAGCACTCAAAGTTGCAATAAAATTTGGACAGATCTACCGATCAATAATGTTTCTTACACAATTTCAACAATTGTCTTGGTAGTCAGTCACAATCTATTTTTTGTACAGGACATTTTATCATCAAATGCTATATCAAAACCTCATTTTTTATGACATCTGCCTGTATCCATATATCTGTCTGTCAGCTCTAAAACAAAAAATGAAAGCTGCTCCTCATACTTTTTCTCCTCTCACCACTCACCCACTTTTATTCCTGAGGAATGCACCCATCATCCACACTGCCATTTGTTCCAGCCTGCAGTTCTGAAGGCCTTTTTCCTCTTAATTTTCTGTATTTATCCACAGTGCATGACCTAAATCAAATCGGGTTTTTTTGCTTTATATTTTTTAAATCAGCCTTTCTCAAACTGTTGAAACTGACGCTGCCTCTAACAACTTTCAGTCCCATTAAGTTGTAGATTTCATCTCACTTTGAAAATCCATAGAAAACACAGCTGCTATCATTTTTGAACCATTGCTTTGAGTACGTTATCACCAATGCTTTCATCTGATGGCATTTAAAGTCAATGTATTTTTATTATTGTTAACCTTCACAGTTTAGATTTATAATTATCCCACCTTACTATGCCCCCCAGTTTTCTCCTCCTTCCCACACTGTTGTTGCCTTCTGTTCTGTTTACTAGATCCTTAATTCCTATGTATATCTTCTATATTTTATTCACAGAGCCATGTTTGAAGTTAATATGAAAGAACGAGATGATGGCAATGTTACTATTAGTAATCTATCACCCAAGGCAGTGAAAGCTTTTCTTGATTATGCTTACACGGGAAAAACAGAGATAACAAATGATAACGTGGAAATGCTCTTCCAGCTGTCATCATTTCTTCAGGTTTCACTCCTTTCCAAAGCTTGCAGTGACTTTCTAATAAAAAGTATCGATCTTGTCAATTGCTTACAGTTGCTTTCTCTGTCAGAAAGTTATGGTTCTGTCCGCTTATTTGATCATGCACTAGATTTTGTACAGCACCACTTTTCCCTGCTACTAAGATCAAGTGACTTTTTGGAGATGAATTTTGAGATATTGCAAAAATGTCTTGAAGCTGATGAACTAAATGTCCCTGAGGAAGAATCAGTGTTGAATGCTGTTCTTCAATGGACCAAACATAACATAGAAACACGACAGAAATATCTGCCTAATTTGATCAAAAAAGTGAGGCTACACCAGTTACCTGAAAAGACTTTGCAAGACTTTCTGCACTCAGAAGAATATTTACTTAAAAGTGCTAATTGTTCAGTAATAATCAATGATGCAGTCAAAAGTGTGCAAGACTTCAGTGGACTATTTCCAGATGCACGTCCTTCAACAACAGAAAAATACATATTTGTTCATAAAACTGATGAAGACGGAGAAAACAGGCATACATTTTGCTACAACATCAAAACAGATAAATGGAAAGAACTACCACATACACACATGATTGATCTTCCAGGGTCAAGCTTATCTAGCTACGGAGAGAAAATATTTATAACTGGAGGATGCAACGGGAATTGTTACAGGACAGTCAGGCTTCATATTGCCGAACCGTTTCATGATGCCACTGACCAAACCTGGTGCTACTGTCCAGTCCGCAATGAATTCTCCATAGTGTCAGCTATGAGAAAACCAAGGACAATGCACACGTCTGTTGTCACCTTAAACCAGTTGTTTGTAATAGGTGGAAAGACCAGAGGAGCTCAAGAAACCCGAAGTCTTTTAGATGTAGAATCATATAATCCTCTCTCCAAAGACTGGAAATCTGTAAGCCAATTACCAAGAGGTATCTACTATCCAGAAGCAAGTGCATGTCAGAATATAATTTACGTCCTTGGCTCAGAAGTGGAGATTACTGATGCCTTTAATCCGTCTCTTGACTGTTTCTTTAAGTATAATGCTATGACTGATCAGTGGTCGGAGCTTGTAGCAGAATTTGGGCAGTTTTTCCATGCAACTCTAATCAAAGCTGTTCCAGTGAACTGCACGTTGTACATATGTGATCTCTCCACCTACAAAGTCTACAGCTTTTGCCCAGAAACCTGTGTTTGGAAAGGGGAAGGATCTTTTGAATGTGCTGGCTTTAATGCAGGGGCGGTTGGGACAGAAGACAAAATTTATATCTTAGGTGGTGATTATGCTCCAGAAGAAATCACAGACGAAGTTCAAGTCTACCACAGTAACAGGTCTGAGTGGGAAGAAGTTTCCCCAATGCCAAGAGCCTTAACTGAATTTTATTGTCAGGTCATTCAGTTTAATAAATATAGGGACCCGTGGTCATCTGTAATGACAATTTGCTCTGGAGAATTTTGAAATTCCTGAGTCAAAATGATCTATTTAAATGCACAAATTTTAGAACAGATTTTTTTCAGTATTAGTTTGCAGAAAAATATGTATTATTTTTGTTTTAAATCTTCAGTTTAAACTGTCTGCTATAAAAATGTTTCTGAAAGGGTCTATAAAATTCCCATCCATCCTAACCATTATATATCAAGAATTACTTAGTTTTGTATACAAGTCTTCTCTATAATTATCTGAATAATTTGAAAATACTACTTTTCAGAAAAAAAGTTATGAGGAATTTATTTTGTAATATGTGCCATTATTTCTGTAATAATCAGTTGCCCCAGGTGATAAATTGCTGAGTGAGGAAACTGATAGTGATACTGTTTTCCCTATGTAACTGAAGTTTAAAGAAATCTGCATTCATGCCGGCTTTTTTTGTTTTGTTTTTTTTTTTCTTTCTTTTTTTTTTTATATTCACAAACCTGTTAGAGAACCTCATTGTCAGTTTTATCGTATTAGAATGACCTGAGCAAGGGAAAAAGCCAAAGTGACCTTTGCAGCATCTTCACAGCAGTAAAACCAGGTGTCTAACTTGAAGAGACTGAAAATTCTCATCATCTTACATCAGCTCTTCAGTTGGACCAGTTTTTTTCCATCCTTGTGCCTTAGTAGCAGCTGTACTTTCTGTTTTCATCCCGTCGCTGTGGCAAGACAAACTTTGATAACAATTTGCAGGGTGAGCAAGATTTCTACAGGGTGGATGATTCGGGTGGGAACTTTGCTGCACAGATGGTCACCTCAATCACTGCAAGAAAAAACACTTCAGGATGTTTTCTAACAGAAGTCTTCCATCTCTGAAGTCTGCATCGGCTTCTGCTGAGCAGCCAATAGGCTGCTTACAGCAGAAAGTTGCAAAATTAAGTTTTAGTTGTTGCTTCAGTTAACTACCGGGAAAGTTCGTATCTTGTAATACACAGAATGCAAAGTTAGAAAAAAACACAAACCCATACTTAAAGTAGGTAGCATTTCTAAGGGAAATAAATCATTTTTAAAAAACTTCTGTAGTATTTTAAATGAATTAAAACACTTTCATCTTCATGGCAATTACAAGTGATAACTATTGCAAGGTAAACACTATGCAATATATTGCTAGAGAAACTATAGTAATCTATTATGTTGAAATTGTAATGGATTTTCAGTATTAATACTACCGTGAAGTAAATTTGATCTGATGCATACAAAGTGTCTGTCCAACAGGACACTGGAATTATCTAGGTTTCATAAACTCACTTGTAATCTTCCACAGCCAGAGAATTCTCTTTCTGCCCAGATATTTGAATAAGATTTTAGTAGCCCTTGTGTACTAATCAGGCCACTAAGTTGTGTTATGCCAGACAGAATGGTTGTATACATCTAAGCATGTATTCTCCAAGCAGCTTAAAAATGAACAAAATTTAGTGAGTTACCTAATGATCTTTTACACGGCTTCAGACAACCACTGTAAGTTTGCTACCACATCTCTGCTGCATGTACTTTTGGCAAAAGTAAAACTCAATATTAATGCTTAAGACTTAATATTGCCTAGCAACGCATTTCTCTTTCAAACAGTAAACAGTGGAAATCTACAATTTTGTCATTTCTATAATTTATCAGATATCTTTCGAAAGTTAGATAATATTATAAATATTTTCATAAGGATGTAAGTGAAAATTATGCACATTTGGATAACATATTAATAATGGAACTTTCCCCCTCAGTAATTTGTATTAAGATATGTGTCAGTTCTGTAGAAGTAAATAGTTTCTTGTAGTAGTATTTCAGGTAATTTCCACATTTATTTTGATCTTTCATAGTGAATCTCCATATTATAAGTACAGTAAGACTGGTAACCTTTACAATCGTTTTTATATCAGAGCATGCCTACTGCCTGTTAGTAAAAATGATACGTATTGAATAGTTTAGGAGAGATGGAGAATACTATTCCAGCTTATTAAATTATGAAGGGGGAAAAAAAAATATGAATACAAGAGAATAGGAATTTTAGCATTAGTAGGCTAGTCAAGGTAGCATAGACTTCATTTAATTATCACAACCTGTCATTTTACATCAGAAGTACAAGGCTGCACAGAATTGCCAGGTGATAACCTGAACCAGTGGTTGAGCATCAGGTGAGAAGACATGGCTAACCTGGGGAGCTTGGGTGCAAGCAGTGCACCTGAGTGGCTGAAAGGGTGGAGTCTGGATCATCCCTCCTCACCCTTATTTATGGGTAGCAGCTGAGGGAGCAGAATCTCCATGGATAGAAGTTGCACTTTTCTTGAACTATCACTGGTTATTGGAAGGAGTGAGCAGTTTTTCTTCTGTTATCTTCTGTTCCTCCGTAGCGCTTGTGTCCAAGGAGGAGATGCTGTCATTGTCTTCTTTTGCTGCACAGAGGCCCAATTCTTGTTAGCTTGTAGTTTTGTGCTCTTTCTATACCCAAGTAATGACCATGTAATTTATGCAATGACAACATTATGCCCATTTCATATGGGTATAAACAGCTATGCAAGTTGGAAGAGATTAGAGAACTTAAAGTTACTTTCTGTTGCTTCTGTTGTGAGCAAATTGCTGGGCTGCATAAACAGCACTGAGTCAGTCATAAGTTCAGGTGATGTTCTTTCTTCCAAGTATTTTCTTACAGTTTCTTTTATTTGATATACTTGCTGTATGCATATACCTCTGCCACATGACACCCAACAGAGCGTACGTGGTAAATTACTTGTTATTCTCACACACACATACATAAACCTAAACATAACTTTATTGGGAAAAATGACATTCTTTAATATTCTACGCTACATTTGCACAGGAACTAAAATCAGTTCCCAGTCCAACCAATCATTCGTGAGTTTCAAATGGTGTTTCACTCTCTTAATTGGTGACAAGGAAATTAATGAGTAGCATCCGTTCCTTTTCACTATTTATTACAAAAAGTTACTGTGAAATGGAATGAATTTTCTTCTGTTATGTAGGTAAACTCATAGAGGGGAAAAAAGACAAAGTTATTTGCTGTAATTTCAACATGATAGGAGAAGGGGAAATGGTTTCAAACTGAAAGAGGAAGGGGAGATTTAGACTAGATGTAAGAGAAACATTTTTTTACATTAAAGGTAACGAAATACTGGTACTTGTTGGCCAGAGAGATGGTGTGCCCCGTCCCTGCAGACTTCCAGGTTGGGTGGGACTCTGAGCACCTGATGGAGCTGTAGAGTCCCTGTTCATGGCAGGGGAGTTGGGCTAGATGGCCCTTAGAGGTTTCTTCCAACTCAGCTGATTTGGATTCATATGGAGGGCTGAATCTAATAGTGGAATTGAATGCAGAAGGTATGTTACAAAGTCGTGGTTAAAAACAAGGCTTTAAGATAAAATGTCATGACTTATTTATCGCAGGATTTGTAATATACCTAGCAATGGATGAAATCTCAGCAAAGTCAACTTCACTACTGAAAACAATGTGGGTTTCTTGCATGAATTACTTCCGTAGGTCTGGATCAAAGATATGTTTTTAGCTGACTACACAGCAATTGCAGAATTTAAAAAGATCTCAAAATTAGTGCAGGGTGATTTCTGCAGCTTTTCTGACTTTTCCAAGCTCACAGAACTTAATAAAAAAGTACGTTCCTCTGAAAATAATGCGTTACTAGATAATGATTACCTACATTCTCACTGAAATATATTAAAATGTTTAAAACATACAAATTGCATGTAAAAGTATATGCTATTATTTGCACCTAAATAATGTAACCAAAACATTTCTAATAGTTGTTTACTGTATGTCACAAAATACATTTTAAGCATGATCAGTACAATATACATTAAGATAATATACATGTGAGATTTTAATACCCAGTAATTATTATATTGGATAGTTTTATAAGAATGCACTGAAAACATTATGGCACTTTGCTAATGTTATCGTACTGGTTTAGTTACAATAAATATCAATTATTCAGGTGTTTATATTGATTATGTTTGCACAGACCTGATAATTATTATTTCTGTATTAATTAATTTATTTTCTATATTCTAAATATGTTAGTACTAAGTCAGTTTACTGCTGTTAAAAATTCATTATATTTAAAAAACGGAGTAAGATTTATTGGGTCAGATTTGTTCCCAGTGTTACTCCATTAAGAAATCTGCATACCTCTTCTGATTAATAATAAGTATTAGGAAAGGTGTAGGATGTAGGATGTGCTGATAGCATTTGGAAATGTGGAGTCTAATTTGAGGTGTTTCTGTTTGTGGTTGACCAACAGGAGGCAGCATAAGATCTATTTTAATTAAAACGGAATTAAACCAGGGATATTTTGACAATATTTGTATGTGTAAATTGTGCTCAGTTTACTTTTTCCCTTCTAACATCCAATAAAGCATAGAGATCATTAAAATCCTGCTGCTGCCTGGGCTCTGCTGATATGTGGAAGTATGACACTACTGTATGTTTGCTGAGATGTTCATTCTTCTGTGAAATAAAGCACCAAGCAACTGAATCCTTCTCAGGTGTCTGTAAATGTTTTTCGTTTTTGCTTGTTTGTTTCCAGTGAGTTTCAAAATACAGAGTATTTACAATGCTTCCAACTGGGCTAACATTTTTTTTTTCCAACTGGCGAACATTTTGAGTATTGGGATATGACCAAGAAAGCAATTAGCAGGCACAAAAACTGCATTGGCAGGTTGTTTTTTTTCACTATCCTTGAACTTCTTATCTGCATATTGTTTGTAAATCAATTTGCTCTTATCAAGCTAAATTAATTTAGTCTGCTGGAAAGCTGTATGTTCTTTACTGTATAGTATGTGTATAAATTGGTATTTTTATTGGATGCATCTAGATCAGATTGATATGTAATATTTTCAATAGTTTAAATATTGAAAATGATTATATATTTATTTTGAAGTGGGCTTCCATGCTACTTTAGACATTGCCACTCCAAAATACACGAGTGCAAAGGGTGCAGATGTGCCATTAGGTGAGTTCTTATGTTCCTCCAGAACTTAAAATTCCGTGACCTCCACAGTCTGTATCACAGACTGTATCACAGTATCTTACAAAAGATACTGTATCATTTTTAAGAAGTTACACTCAATGGTTTTCTTAGTTCATGAGTAAGTTAAATACCTGGAGGGGAATATTCACATAACTTGCTCTCCATTAAACACGTAAGTCACCTTCCTTGACCAGCACATTTCCTTTATCCCTGCACAACTGTATGGAACTTTATGGTTGGAAACCGTAAGTTTCAGGTTATTTTCTCCCCTCCTGCGTTTAATCCTCCACTGTTGTTACTAATTCTAGCTGCGAAGATAAGTTCTCACAGTTACCAGTGACATGCAGAAGAAACAGATCCTGGAAGTATAATTTTGTCTTCAGTTTTCTTCTGTTTCAGTCAGCTACATGTAAATTCAAGAGAGCTCATGTGAATGAAGACAGTCTAGAGACTTATACTGTGGAGGAAGCTGGTATACACCAAATAGCCTCTGTAACAGTGGAGTAACAATTGGGGAGAAAGGAGATCTATCTAACATTACGAGAACAGCTACCATGAGATCTCACACTTTTATTCAATTCATATAAATGAGCACTTAGCATATTTAGTGTTTTTGTGCTCCGTATGAAAAAGGGATATGTTATTATAATTAGCACTAATTATTTTTGCAGATTGCCAGAGGCTCAGGCTGGTAATGAGTTCCGTTCTATATATTTTTTCCAGCTATTGCCCTTCAATCCAGGTTGAACTAGCTTCCAACACCTTCAAGGCACAATTGCATCATACTTATGAGCACTGTTAAAATACATAAATAATGTAATAACATAAACTAAGCCTTGGTCATGCATAGGTTTTATTAAATACAATATACAGTGTAAAAAATCGCTAACAAAGTGGTATAGTCTTATTGCCCCACTATCCACTATTTCCCTCCTTAAATTTTTACAGTACACAGTGGGCATAGTTTAGCAGCAGAACTGTCATCTTCTGTGAGCTGATAAAACCTCATAGGCCTGTGTGAGAGCAGTGACCTGCAGCCAGCTGTGGCTGTATGAATGTGTGAGAGCAGTGACCTGCAGCCAGCTGTGTCTGTATGAATGTGTGTGAAGCAGTGACCTGCAGCCAGCTGTGTCTGTATGAATGTGTGTGAAGCAGTGACCTGCAGCCAGCTGTGTCTGTATGAATGTGTGTGAGTGCAGTGACCTGCAGCCAGCTGTGTCTGTATGAATGTGTGTGAGTGCAGTGACCTGCAGCCAGCTGTGTCTGTATGAATGTGTGTGAAGCAGTGACCTGCAGCCAGCTGTGCCTGTATGAATGTGTGTGAGTGCAGTGACCTGCAGCCAGCTGTGTCTGTATGAATGTGTGTGAGTGCAGTGACCTGCAGCCAGCTGTGTCTGTATGAATGTGTGTGAGTGCAGTGACCTGCAGCCAGCTGTGTCTGTATGAATGTGTGAGCGCAGAACACATGCAAGGCTTTTCAGCAACGTGTGTAGGTGTAGATATTAATTACGCATCTGCAAGCACCGCGTTGAGACGGCAACGAGACGCACACAGGGAAAGGTGCGGGCACCTCAGCGAGGCTGCGGAGACAGAAAAGGGCAGCGACAGCACAGCTCCGCTGCATTTCACTCGCGTGCTCACTATCCTGAAGCAATATCGCAGCTTACATAAGCAGCAAATTTCAAAACATTTACTCCCACCACAGACGAGCCTCACCGCGGGAACCCATCCTCACCACAACCCAACCGCACAGCCCCAGCGCCTCACTGAGCGCAAGAAACGTGCCGCCGGAAAGTCATAGAGTGGAAGGCGGGCTCTGGCAGAAGCTAGCCAATCATCGGAAGGCATGGGTAAGACAAGCAGCGGCCGCAGCCAATGCTGTATGGGGCTGCGCGAGCGGTGTCCCCGCGGGGGAGTTACGGCGCTCAGAAGCTTATTCGGGGCATTACGGCGCGTCTAGGAGGGTGGGACAGGAGAGAACAAGCGAAGAGCCTCAACAGCCAATAGTCGTTCGGGAAGGACTGATGGGCACTCAGCTCGCCCAATAGGAAGGTGTCGGTCGTTAAAGGGCCGGCGACCCGGTGGGGTGAGTTGGGCGTAGGTGAGTAATGTGTGCGGCTCCTGGGGCGGGCGCGGTTCGCGGTGGGTCTGAGGTAGTATGGCTCCCGGCGCCTTACGGGGGGCCGCTCTCCCGGTCTGTAGCCTTCGGTCCTTTTGTGGGCGCAGAACGGTTGCACTCTCAATCACGGGTAGCGTTGAGGCGGCAGCGCGCTGCCCTCCCGTGAGGGGTGCGGGGTCCCTCGGTCTCCGAGTCGGTTGCCCGGAAGCCCGGCGTGGGGAGGGACGTCGGCGGGGTTGTCTGTCGCCTTTGTTCCCTGCGAGGGCTCCCGGCGGGGCCGGGCCGTGTCTGATAGGAGGGCCGAGGATGGGGGCTGTGCGGCCTCCTTTCTCTCTTCCTCCTCCGGTTCTGAACTGAGAGCGGTGGGGTTTGGGTTGTGCGTTAGGAAGAAGTTCTTCACTGAAAGGGAAGCTGCTCAGAGCTGTGGTGCCCCATCCCTGCAGGTGCTCAGTGCCAGGTTGGATGGGCCCTGGGCAGCCTTAGCTGCTGGGGGGCAACCAGCCCGTGGTGGGGGGTTGGGACTGGATGGGCCTTGGGGTCATTTCCCACCTGAACTGTTCTGTGTGTATGGTTGTACCGATTGAACCATCTCTGAGTACTTAAAATTGACCCATGCCAGTACAACCATCTGTTCAGAACCACGCCTGAAGTTTTCCAGAAAGCCATGGATTAGTACTGTGTGAAGAGTGCCCAATTCTCAAATTTGGTGTTAGAACATTAGGTTACAGGGCCTCCTGATGCTTATGATCCTAATGCTTATTTCTTTTCATTATTTATTTTTTCTGGAAATTTCTAATATGAAGACAACCACCAAGGCGTAATAACAAAAAAGAAATCTGGATATATATGTGTGTGTATATATATATTATAAATTATTTAATAGGACTCTGTGAGATTTTTTGGTGTTGGTTATGACTTTTTCACAGGATCACAGAATGGCCCGGGTTGGAAGGGACCTCAAGGGTCATGAAGCTCTAATGCCCCTGCCACATGCAGAGCCACCAACTTCCCTATTTAATACTAGACCAGGCTGCCCAGGGCCCCATCCAACCTGGCTTTAACACCTCTAGGGATGGGGCATCCACAGCCTCCCTGGGCAGCCTGTGTTGCTTGTGTGTTGGTTTTTGTTGGTTTTGTTTATAAACGCACCATTCTAGCATGTGTTCACACAGCGAGATGCGAGGAAGGGAAACACAGTGGCAGAGTGTAGATGCCTCTGCTGTATTTTGAGGTTATGAATCTTATGTATGTTTATGGATTGTTCAATTTAGTTTCATAATACTGTTTCATTTCAGCAACAACAAATAATTCCAGTTTCCAGACCAGAGGTGAGGGCCTTCTTAACCTTCAGTTTGATTTTGGCCTGACAGGACTGTATCAATAAACTCAGTGTTACGTTGCTGACTCTCCTGTGCACACCTTGAAAGCTTTCTGTTATCTCATGATGAAAAACCCTTCTCTTTCTCTAGACAGCACTTTGCATTTGTACCCAAATGGTACACATTTTGCATTTGCATTCTGAGTAATGTGTGCACAGCTGCTAGTCACATCAGAGCCTGTTTGCATCATTTGTCACTTCTCAGGGATTTCTCTGTCACATAGCCAGGCTTTTGTCATCTCTTCTCTAATCTGCTTATCCCTTTTCTGAGTGAACCACTTTTATTCCCAATTGGTACACTTAGAATTTATTTGCTGTAGAATCTTCTGCTAACGACACAAAAACGTTGAGGTCTTACGGTTCTGATTTCGGTAAAATCTGAAATGTTTGTCTGGAATTATTTCTGAATGTGTGTTTTCTTGTTTTAGATCTCAAACTAGAAATTAAACATGCTTTATGTTTTGTTCTTGTAAATTAATCTTTTCAAATTGCTGATAAGTTGTTTTTGTTCTTTCTTTGTAGCAATTTAGAATGTGTACAAATCCTTGCCTGTTATCATTCATGACTGTTAAATAGTTTAAGCGTGTGGCAGTTCATTTTTTCTTAATTAAAAGTTATATCCTGGACACCATCCAGAAATATCAAAGTATTAGAACCAGAATTTTACCAAACTCGGCTTTATTTAAGTAATATTGCTTTTTATTTAATATATCAGAAAGGTAATGGTTCTGTTGCGGAATAAGTCCAAATCTGCTCATCTCTATGCTGCTAAGATAATTCATTAGCACCACCTGCATTAATGAAAAAGGAAACGTCTTCAGTGAGGCAGTGTGCTTTCAGAAGGCAAAGAGTTAGAAATAGTGAGGTGTGCTTTACAATTAGAGAGTAATAACCAAGAGTTTTAAAATAGGTAGGCTTCACCGTTGCTCTCAGGGGCTTATATCATATATGCTATAGGACAAAAACAAAAGAACGCTATGCAAAATGGCATTTTAT